CAGCCATAAAATGGTATATATGACTGTGGTCTGTAATTAGTTTGGACCAGACAAAACAGTCACTTAGCAGTTTGTTCGACAAGGGCCAGAGTTTGTCAACATTCCAAAAATATAGAAGAATGCTACATGCTCTCCAGACACTGGCTCAGCAACAAAAATAGGTTTCTACAGCACCTCCATGTAGGAGCATGCTAAAAGCACTTAAGACTTTCCCACTCCAGTCAGTGGATCACTTGTCCACTTCATCATATCAATTCCAAACAAACTCATAGCAACTTCCACACCACTGCTTACATCAGTTAGTAATTATCAATGAAACTCAATGTTATGAAGTCAACCGAATCATACGATGACGACAACATTGTTTATCAATAAATTACACTACTATATAACTCAAGCATGCTGATCACATTTTGAAGAACAAAGCCAAGGATTTTGTGCTTCAATGGATTTGAACTTCTTGAACAAACTTAAATGTATGCCAAGTACTCGCAGAAACAGAAGCGAACTGTATGCTAACCTCAAACAAATTGAATAGGATCGTATTTTAGCCGTTTTAATACCAGAAACGTTTGCTTCATAACAATAACATATAAAAAAGTCTAGAAATATTCTGCTTGAGGATCATTTTCCAAATTAGTGGTTCTGAACTGACATTATATGAAACTGACTGTTTATCTGATCTGATTATACATCACTGTTGATCATGTTATCATTTCATCTTTTAACAAGACAAAGTCATCAATATCCCCCGCAATGGTAAAATACTTTTCATGATTATGTCTACGAGTTATGACTATGTCAAATATTTAGGTGTGTATATAGAAAAGTGGAAGGAGAGTATTGACAGGCTAAGTCAAACTTGTTGCCACGGACAAGCCAAAAATATTTTATTCAGAATTCCAAAACTACCAAAAGGCACCAGTACACCACCAGACCAATCTATGTGCCCAGTTTGGTGAAGAAATAGTGAACGGTTTTAGAGTTCAGCTCCGGAAAAGAGCACTACCACCAATTTCAGGCTAAGTCAAACTTGTGGCCATAGAAACGCCAAAAATATTTTATTCAGAATTCCAAAACTACCAAAAGGCACCAGTACACCACCAGACCAATCTATGTGCCAAGTTTGGTGAAGAAATAGCGAACGGTTTTAGAGTTCTGCTCCGGAAAAGACAAATGTGCAAGGACAGACGGACGGACGGAGTCCATTTTAATAGCCCCCGCAAAACGCGTTGCGGGGGGTAATTAGCCAAATCCCATCTCATATATATATTTCATCATGATCTGTAAAACTTATTTTCACTTTCTTTTGTCATGCTTGTTTCCCCTTAAAGGAGAATACGAACGAAAAAAAACCTTTTGATATATTGTAAAGCATATTCTAAAAGTCACATCCGTGATTAAAACTGAACAAAAAGTTTGTAAAATAGCAATAAAAACACAAAAACGTACTCGTATTTCCACCAATTACGGAAACACCCGACAGTTAATGACTGACTGACTGACTGAGTGAGTTTGGTTTTACGCCGCTTTTAGCAATATTCCAGCAACATCACGGCGGTGGACACCAGAAATGGGCTTCACACATTGTACCCTAGACTAAGGCTTAGTCTCTGAATATATATAATTTGGATAGTAACAAACAAGCCCATTTATATTGAAAAGGAGCCCTAGGGAGACCAGAGATCCTGAACTAGACTAAGGCTTAGTCTCTGAATATATATAATTTGGATAGTAACAAACAAGCCCATTTATATTGAAAAGGAGCCCTAGGGAGACCAGAGATTCAGAACCTGAGGAAATCTAGACTTGCTTTATTTAGGGCTTTAGCACTGCAGAGGGGGTTAGGCAGTAGGGAAAATAATGTTGTTCAGGGACTGTGAGACAGACTAATTGTACCCATGTGGGATTCGAACCTGGGTCTGTGGCGTGACGAGCCAACGCTTTAACCACTAGGCTACCGGCCCCCCGGACAGTTAATGAGCAGAGGGGGTATCACGTGACATGACGTCATACGTGCCTGTTGCTGATGGCGGCTTCTTTGATTTTACCTCACAACTTAACAGTGTCCGTGGATTCTGAAGCAGTAAAACATGTTACTGATGTCATTTCGGAAATGGATGTTAGACCGTATCAATACGATCCGATTTTACATCTTAGAAGACAATCTTCCACTGAAGATGAAGAAGAATCAAGCGAAACGAAGGCACCGCTTGAGGTCAAAATAAATTTTAAAATAGACCATATCATTTAACAAGATTATTATTTGTCAGCAAAATGTCATACAGTTCCAGCCAGCAAACTCACCCCTATAAATATATGACCAGTCACAAAGAATTATTATTATTAAAATGTGATTACAGTTCATTTTGTGTCAAATGGGTGACTGTAGGGTGTCTGGGATTTAAAAACAAAATAACTGTGCTTCAGATGAGGGAAAATAAAAATTATCTGCTTCAAAAATTACACTGGAATTATTTTGTTGAAAAAAATTAGGATCCTAGTTCTCATTAATAACGTATCAAGTATCGATACAAGATCCCAGCCTGGTCAAGCAGAGATAATATTTGCGACGCAGATATGTTATTCCCCGAAAACTGGTGAATTATAAAATACTAGTCAGGACAATGTATGTTTCCCCATTGTTTGGTTATGGAAATAGTTATGGTACTCGGTCATAGCCTTAGAGTGACATCTTCTCAGCCAATGAGAATACAGAACAACTTTCACGGCACACACTACTGACAAAACTGTTTTCATGATTAAAACATAATTATACATAATTTTTAATTGAATATTTAAGAATATGTTTCTGATGACTTTATCTTTCACCCAGCAAATTATTACAATTCACTCGTATTCTCCTTTAAATGTCAGCTTGAAGATCAACAGAAGGTGCATTAAAACAGCTGATGACACGTCAGTCTCTGCTCCCAACTAAAAACTGCAAAACATACTTCTGGCACTTGAAGCACTGACTATCACAATCTGTTTTACAGTTACATCTAATAACCTTCAAGAGTTTCTCTGGTGCTAGAGTCAAGTAGGAACAGACAGACTGAAGTCTGTCACTGGTTGTAATCCATTCCCAATCCTGTAGATTCAAATGCCCATCTAACCCTATCAGCACGCTGACTATGGTTGATGTTGGTGGCATGAGATTAATGGGGACAGTATGAGGTATTAGTTATGACCTTACTTCAAAATATCATACACCTCAATAGATCCAAGCCTTCACAAGGATTATTGTCTTTTAATGAATAAACGAAATTCTCTTCCCAATTCCATGTAAACAAGAAGGAAAAGTTATCAATATCCCCCCTCAAATGGTAAAATACTCTTTATGAATAGTTCTACTAGTTACGATTATGTCAAATGTTTTGGAGTGTATATAGCAAAGTGTAAGGAGAGCATTGAAAGGGTTTTTAAGATCTGCTCCAGAAAGGAGCAATACCACCAAATTCAGTTGAAGCCTAACTTGTTGCCATGAAAATGCAACAAGATGACATCCTCAAAGTCACAGCCTAAGTCACATTTCCACGGAAACCACAAAAAGAAATTCGTTTCTGGGTCTAACCATCAAATGGCACATCTATGAATCATGCTTGATATGTATACCAAGTTTGATGAAGCTAGCATGTATAGTTTAGGAGATCTGGAAGGATGACAATATATGGATGAACAACTTCTTTATTGCTGTGACAGTGACGTTTCGGTGTAGGTTCTAACACCAAAACATCGCTCTCACATCAATAAAGAAGTTGTTCATCCATATAATGTCATCCTTCCTTACTGCCCCAACTTCTAAATGCCTCTCAAAGAAGTTAGGAGATCTGCTCTGGACAAGATGACATCCTCATAGCCACAGCCTAAGTCACGTTTCCATGGAAACCACAAAAAATAAAATTCATATCTGGGTCTAAACCCCAAAAGGTATATCTATGGATCATGCTTCACACACACACACACACACAAACACACACAAACACACACACACAAAAGCACATGCACATATCCAGCTCAAAAGGCGCTTTGTTTTTCCCTCAATCACTGGATGTCAATTTCAACAGCACGTCGTATCATCAATCGCAATTCCCTGGGGAGAATACAACTCTTGCAGCCACTAGTCGCACCAAGTTAGTGTGGCTTTCCCATCCTTACGAGGTACCCATTCACAGCTGGGTGTACTGGGACACATAGTCACAGTACTTTGTCCAAGTTTACTGCACCCGCAACTAGGTGTTTGCATGTATTCATGTGGCCACCATCTGGTCATATACCAACGGATTTGTGGGTTCTTTTAAGTGCACAGGGTTGTGTACTGTACACTAGGGGTTGTGACAACACTGAAAGAGTCTACACACAAATGTGACTCCAAGGTTTTTACACCCAGTCACAGGTGGGCTCCATCCCGGCAAGTTGACATGATAAAATTCATATCTGGGTCTAACCCCCAAAAGGCACATGTAGGGATCATGCTTGCTATGTATACCAAGATTGATGAAGCTAGCACGTATAGTTTAGGAGATCTGCTCCAGACAAGATGACATTCTCATAGCCATAGCCCAAGTCATGTTTCCATGGAAACCACAAAAAATAAAATTCATATCTGGTTCTATACAAAAGGCACATCTAGGGATCATGGTTGACATGTGTACCAAGTTTGGTTAAGCTATCATGAATAGTTTATGAGATATGCTTCGGACAAAGTGTGACGGACAGAACTCGGTCTTCAGGTCCAAGACCCGGATGTTCCACCAGAACGCTGCATGTGAACATGATCTTTTGAGTGTCGTCCATTACAATAACAATTGACGACAACTGCAGGAAATGCCTGCTTCAAGGCAATCTTTAGATACATTTTGCAGAGGGAAACAAAACAAAACATACTTAGTAAGCATGGTGAGTGTTGCAGCTGAGAAATACCATCATAAACATGAGACAGATTTTCAACATTGGGTGCAAGCATGTCATATCCAACTTAAGTCCACATTGCATACCTTTGAGGAAAACAGATAGGACTCCCATGATATCATCACAGGTAGCTGCTGTCATGATGGGTCAAACTGTTCTAATTCTCCATCTATCTTCACTGCTGTCTTAGCATTGATTTGAATACTTGAAGGCCAAGTTTCTTTGCTCTGTCAACATTTACACATGCTGTCACACCAAAGTATTCCTAAGTGTTGGATCCTCTGCAAGATATTTCTACCATGAAAGTGGCTTGGTGTAGTAATCTCTGGATTGTTTTGCTTACATTGTCATCAGTGCTTTTGTTCACTTGTGTTGAATCCAGTGTCTGAAAACTGCTACATGTAGATGTTGATGTCTGTACAAGCTGGTGTGGACATCCTGTGTCCTCTAGTCTATCCACCTCTTGTTTGATCGCTTTTCATTGAAACCTACAGCATGTCAAGATCAGTTGGTAGACCCAACTGATCACTTTTTCTGGGTACATTTTGTCCAGATTCAACGCAGTTGAATACATAAGGGTGATCTACTTCTAGATTTGTTTCAGTTGACTTCACACAGAAATTGTGTCAGGCAACAGCAAAATATTTCAACATGTCTTATACAATCTGAAGGTGAAGATGCCAGATTCCTGTAAGTTCAACTGGTTAAAACTTGTGAAGTCTTTTGTTGATGGTAGGAAAGGTGTGAGTCCTACTGTATATCTGCATCATCCCTGACAATCCTGGTTTCTGCAGTTGAATATTCCAGGTGACCAAGTTGTAAGTAAAGACTTTTGTTGATGGTAGGAAAGGTGTGAGTCCTACTGTATATCTGCATCATCCCTGACAATCCTGGTGTAGGAAGCTGAATATTCCAGGAGATCAAGTTGTAAGTGAAGTCTTTGCTGATGGTAGGAAAGGTGTGAGTCCTACTGTATATCTGCATCATCCCTGACAATCCTGGTGTAGGCAGCTGAATATTCCAGGTGACCAAGTTGTAAGTAAAGACTTTTGTTGATGGTAGGAAAGGTGCGAGTCCTACTGTATATCTGCATCATCCCTGACAATCCTGGTGTAGGCAGCTGAATATTCCAAGAGACCAAGTTGTAAGTGAAGTCTTTTGTTGATGGTAGGAAAGGTGTGAGTCCTACTGTATATCTGCATCATCCCTGACAATCCTGGTTTCTGCAGTTGAATATTCCAGGAGACCAAGTTGTAATTCTAGTCTTTCGTTCTAGTGTTTTGGTAAATATTCTCTGCAATAAACACCATGGCTCATTCAGTCTTTGCATAGGATGGCTGACATTATTAATCTGTTTTCTCTTACCTTTTTATCACAGGAAAGACATTAAATGGGAGAACACCAAGTATAAAAAGTTCAAACCAAGCAACATACTCACATTCTTATATGGAGATTGTGTCGAGTGGGACCTGCCATAGGTTTGTATTGTTGGACAGAACTGACCACTTTCGCATGAATTTGATAATTGGCATGTATTTTGATATCTTTGAAACCTTATTTACTTAGATTTCAAACTATCTTTATTTCAAAAGACCTATATCTATATAAACATGAAAACAGTGGATTCAAGCATAATGTATCAGGAGCATAATGTATCAGGAGCATATTCACTTAGCTTGTGAAGCATATTCACTTAGCTTGTGAAACGAGGAGAAAGAATAGTCAAATGCAACATTTTTGGTGCCCCAACATTATTATACCTTGTTGCATGCCAGTCTGAAAAGTTTTTTCACCTTTTCTTAAACATCTGGTATCAACACTATTTTGTAGTGATTCAGAAACACATGCTCTGTCATTGTATCACATGGTGATAATCACTGGATTGTATGGTCCTACTCGGTTTGTTTACAAACAACATTGTACAGCTGTAAAACTTCTGAAACAAATAGCTACTCATGATATAGTAACAATGGTACAACTGACTGCTTTTAGCAGATTTCTTATACAATATGGTAGCCCTCAAGTGACAAAAATTTCCAATACGTCCAACACAAAATCAGTCCAATATATTTCATGTTCAAAACTGTTTTTGCACTCTAGACTTTTCCAGACATTTGATATCTATCATTAAAGTCATTCCACTAAGCAAATTTATATTAAAAAAAGCATTATTTCTCCCACAGTTTGTTTGAGATGAAATTACAAGCCGACTGGAATATTACTGTGCCAGACAATGACTTTAGCAAATAAGTCAACACACTTGTACAGATTTAGTATGAGTGATACAAAGAGACAAAAGAGACCTGAACTTTTGGTTTCAGCATGTCTAACATTCAAGGAACGAATGTTATGATGTAAAATGTTGCCCACAGATGATGACATTAAGTATTGCATGAAACCTGTTATGTGTTCAATATGCTCCAATTTTCATGATATCTACCACTGACTTAAGGCCTTTTTTTTATTACTTGGTTTACGGATCCACCAAGCCGAAATGTGAAGAAAATGAAAGAAAAAAAAAGAATTGTTTTTTACATATTATTTTTTGGCCATTATATGCTGCCTACCTCATTAAACAAAACAAAGAAAGTGAAAAAAGAAGAGAGAAAATGGCAAATTATACCTTTCAAATATTCCCTGAAACAGAGTGGAACAGAGAGAAAGGTAACGCCACAGGCTGCTCAGCTGGCATGCTGCACCTGGCATATATGATATATTCAAGTGTGTAAATAACATCTCCATATTCCCTTTTCCACACCCACCCCTCCCTACCAACCTAATAAAAAAAAATCAAAAAATCTGTAAACCAAGTAATTGAAAAAAAGGCCTTATGCTGGGAGAAGGTACATTCTGTCACCATTTCATGGTACCATTCCAAACTGACAAGGAAGTGTATAGTAGTGATGAATCTTATAAATCAAACTCCTTTTGTAACAACAGAACTTCATGGACTCCTAATTACAGTGGAGGGACTTCAGTATCTCCTAACCCAATTCATCATGGGGCCTAGTAACATTTTAGTGCAATTCTTCAGCCACAAACATAACAAAGCAATATTGGTGTCATCCAGATTCAATATACAAACACTGGCATTACACAATCTTGGTTTCACAAATTTCAAGTCCTAAGTTTACATTTCTAACCTGCATTTTTGGTTCCATCTCAGACCTGTCTTCTCTAGTTCTAGAAAACTAATGTTTAAATCTGGCAGGTAGTGACTGTCAGCCACCTTCTCTCAGACATATTTCTTCCAATTTATAACAGCTGCGGTTCTTCTACTTACTTTGATTGACAGGTCCTATGAAAATGTGAGCAAGGTTTTACACCACTTTTAGCAATTGTCCAGCAATAGGCTACACATTAAGAACCCATGTAGGGAATTGAACCAGTGTCTTCACCATAAGTTAGATGCTTAATCACTAGGTTACCTCACTGCCCAAAAGGTCCTATGGACTTTTTGATGAGTCAAGTTATGTGCATAAAATAAACAAACACCTGATGTAGGACATGCATGTATGTATTCTTATGTGGAGGAATGTTGGTCAATCTTGTCACATTTGTCTACTTTGATTTACACATTTTGTTTATAAAACAAGCTTTTGTTGCAAACTTGAACAAGGTCTGTGTATTTTTGGTTCAGTTCACAGAGCTATGAATAAATACATTACAGTAAATCCACTGCAGAATTTCTAACTAAAATTCTATTCAAGACATGAATCTCCGCCTTATGCTGACCCTCTTCAGTAGTACTGCCATGACAGATTCATGATCATCTTTCATGTTGTTCAAACCAGAGATTTGTCTGTCACTGTTTATTAATTATCATTAGTTCATTTTTTCACAAATCACCAATGGTATAGCCATTAAAGATGCCAGAGTGAGTGAGCTACTCACGGTTGTATATACTGCAATCAACACTATTCCAGCTGACTGTATACCTGACTGCAGCAAGCAAACCAGTCGTGAACATCATGAATAGTGAGCTGACTCATTCATCAGGCATAATGACACACAATCACTCAGGTAATACATTGTTATCTTAACAGGCCACGTCAGGTACACAAATGTATAGAATGCATGCAGAGAAAAAAAGGGTTAATTTATACTGTATCAAATTCTTGACAAGAAATGAACAATTCCTGAAATCATTAGTAATCATCAAATATTATGCTGCTGTAATCTACACCACTTTATTACTTTACACTGTACAGGACCCGTAAAATTATTATTGGATGTTAGCTGGACCTCAAGTTTGCAAATCAAAATAAAATCCTGCATTTGTATTCCATTGTGGCTATAGCCAACAGGTATTCTTACAATAATCTGGGTTATTTTGATGGAACTGGCAATTTCAAATTCTATCGGTCATGCTTATGTTTTGAAACCTGAGCTCAATCAAATCTTGTATGCCAACAACATTGCATGTCAGATCATGACAAAAACATCTACTGATCAATTTGCTCTATCACGATTATTCTTAATAGTTGGTCATTTTGTTAAAGACAAATACATTTCCCAGCATTTTTTGTTTTATCTTCCAAACAGTGATTGCCTGAGGTTATCAATACGATGTATTGGTTTTCAACATGCTGTGCCATAATCAATTTTCAAGGCTGTTTCCTGTTTGAACATCCATGTTGCTGCCTCAGCATAAAGCAGTCAAAGAGCATGATAAACAAAGACGAAAAATCATCTGGGTTAAGATAAGAGTTCCCATCTGACATAATGTGAAAAGAAGACATATGATCAATATGTCAACAGATAAAGTAAAACATAATGATCTGTACTGAAGGTCTTCTATGAAAACCATTACTGTTTTAAGAATTCCTTTTATTTTTCAGCTCCAAAGTCAATGTTACTGATTGAATGTTTTGTTTTCAAATGAATTTCAAACTACAATTAAAACAAAACAAGATTTTACAATGGTACAGTTTAGTGTCAGGAGTAAATTGTCTGCCATAAGTGTTAGGAGAATAATTCCAGCATATTCAAATTACTTGTAATTACCCACAAACATGCAGATCTATCAATGTGTTGATAAATGCTTATAAACAAAGGCACCCTGTCTTTCAAATAGTAATTAATTTTACAGCTTGAACACCACCTATCTTATACTGAGCAAGAAAGCATGCATGTATCATATTGCATGTATGAACAGTACAGAACAATCTTGAAAAATGCACTATTATGTAATGGAATTTTAAAAAAAAAATATTTTCAGTGGCCCAGAAATGACCACATACCAGCCTACAAACATACATATTGACTCCATCCAAGGCCTGATAATTAATGGTTTGATTGAGTTGTCTAACAATAACAACAAATACCAATGACTACTGTATCCCACAAATTTCAGCCCATGAAGAGTTTTTTTAGAGACCCAACCATGATACATTCTTTGCAAGAAAATATCATGTCAGCATCCAACATTAACCCAATACTTTACGTCACATGGCATTATACTGGAAAATAGGGCTGTATATCAGCTAAAGAACTGAATTGCAACAACTCCCAGTCTCCTACAACAGTAATCGAAGAGTTTCAATCTTTTGGGATTTGCAAAGAAGATACTGAACTCATATGTGAGAGCATTTTAAGCAACGCTGACACAAAAGATAAACAATAACGCAAGAGTGAAACATTGTTCATTTAACTGGTTAAAAACATGTACAGTATTCTAGCAACCAAGCCAGATGTATATATTTATAATTTATCATTTTGTGTATGTAACATATAAGTTGTACATAATGATGTAAATGTGTACCTCTAATGCCTCATTCAAGAATGAGAAACCAAATATAATAGCAAAGGCTAAACAATAAAAAGCAGGACCCAAATTACCATGTTTTTATTGCTGATTAGTGTAGCCCACTGAGATATCATGCCGCAATGAAGCATGAATACCCCACTCAGACACATTATACTGACTCCGAGTTGACCAGTCCTTGTTGTACCCGTTAATGCCGAGCGCCAGGCAGGGACCAACAAGTACCATATTTTAACGTCTTTTGGTATGACACGGTCGGGGATCGAACCCGCGACCTTCTGCTCTCCGGGCGGATGCTCTAACCACTACACCACGGAGGCGGTCATTTACTGAGGGATTCAGTTTAAAAGTACCCCAAAATATACCTTCAAGAAACCATGGGGTAACGATAGATGAATTATATATTTCAAACATGTTATTTTATTTACGGCTTTGGCAGCATTAATCAAAAACAAATAAACAAAAGCTACAGCTGATTGCTATTACAAATTGGCCACCACTGTTTTTCGCTGCATCACATGAAGTAACAAGAAGACAAAGTCATCAATATCCCCCGCAATGGCAAAATACTCTTCATGATTATGTCTACAAGTTATGATTATGTCAAATATTTAGGTGTGTATATAGAAATATTTAGGTGTGTATATAGAAAAGTGGAAGGAGAGTATTGAAAGGTTTTTAAAGTTCTGCTCCAGAAAGCAGCACTATCACCAATTTCAGTCAAACTTGTTGCCATGGAAATGCCAAAAATATTTTATTCAAAATTCCAAAACTACCAAAAGGCACCAGTACACCACTAGACCAATCTATGTGCCAAGTTTGGTGAAGAAATATTGAACGGTTTCAGAGTTCTGCTCCGGAAAAGAGCACTACTACAATTTCAGGCTAAGTCAAACTTGTTGCCATGGAAACGCCAAAAATATTTTATTCAGAATCCCAAAACTACCAAAAGGCACCAGTACACCACCAGATCTATCTATGTGCCAAGTTTGGTGAAGAAATATTTAAGCGGTTTTAGAGTTCTGCTCGGAAAAGAGCACAACCACCAATTTCAGTCTAAGTCAAACTTGTTGCCATGGAAACGCCAAAAATATTTTATTCAGAATTCCAAAACTACCAAAAGGCACCAGTACACCACCAGATCTATCCATGTACCAAGTTTGGTGAAGAAATATTGAACGGTTTTAGAGTTCTGCTCCGGAAAAGAGCACTACCACAATTTCAGGCTAAGTCAAACTTGTTGCCATGGAAACGTCAAAAATATTTTATTCAGAATTCCAAAACTATCAAAAGGCACCAGTACACCACCAGATCTATCTATGTGCCAAGTTTGGTGAAGAAATATTGAACGGTTTTAGAGTTCTGCTCCGGAAAAGAGCACTACCACCAATTTCAGTCTAAGTGGAACTTGTTGCCACGGAAACGCCAAAAATATTTTATTCAGAATTCCAAAACTACCAAAAGGCACCAGTACACCACCAGATCCATGTATGTGCCAAGTTTGGTGAAGAAATATTGAACGGTTTTAGAGTTCTGCTCCGGAAAAGACAAATGTGCACGGACGGACCGGAGTCCATTTTAATACCCCCCGCAAAACGCGTTGCGGGGGATAAAAAATGTTTTTTAACTTACAAATGTTATATGTATTCTAATGTGATTGTGAAGAAGTTATCTTGTTTGAGGAATGTATTCATCAACATCCACATAAAGGAACAATGTCCCAAACATTTAAAGTTGTATGTAGAAATCCGTTCCACACATCTTTGTAACAATCTAATATTTCAATATACATCATAGTATACTTTGGGGTTATAACACAATCTAGCAACTGATCACGGAAATTTGGTTTCTCAAATGTTTCAGATATCTTTGATCAGCTAAAATGGTGCATGTGACAACTGTGTTCATGATGTCTATGGCTGTGTTAGATAACTACGATAACAATGTGTTAAATAGCAATCAATCAACATATTTTGGCTAATGTTTTTAAATAGACACTTCACAACAAGATATATAGAGAATCTCACCCAAGTGTCTACTGATATCAATTATATCAACACGAGTTGATAAAGTTACAAATATCCGAGGCTTGCCGAGGATATTTTTACCTTTATCAACGAGTGTTGATATAATTGATATCAGTAGACACGAGGGTGAGATTCTATTTATCATCAAAATCATTCTTCATTAGTTTTCAATGAAAAATGCACATCTCTCAACTCTGTACTACCATTAGATTTGCAGTGCAGCGATGTCATAGCATTGTGACGTCATCAAGTTGATGACGTCATAGCATTGTTGGGGCATTGTACAAAATCTACTGTCAAAACAATATCTCCTAGGAGATATCATATGATCTCACACAAGCGATATCTCCTGTGGAAAACAGTTTTGGATGATAAAGGTGTATTTCATCTGCTTTAGCAACCCTACACAAAAATCCTCTGCATATGATAACAGTGAAAACATGTTGGGTTATTTTGCTATATAAATGACCATTCCTGTGGTGCATATAGTGCTAATTAGCATCTACTTATGCAAGGATAATTCAAATGACGACAGCTAGACAACTCAGATTCACTATGTTGTTTTCCTTTAACAGATAGCAACTGATGTCACTACAGCTATGTGGTGATTGAAAACTGAACTCAAGGGTACTAAATGCCATATTTCGTGATCACCCTTATAGCAGGGAAGCTCTGTAAAAACAATAAGTAGGCGACTCCACCAGCGCATGTGATTGTTTTAACATTCACATGCAGTGCTAAGAGTTAGAAAGCTCTGTTGCAAATTCCTTATGCAAACATTTAGTTGACTGAACTTGACCTCACACCTTAATGTATCAAGTTTGTTATGCAAGGTGATGATGTTGAACAATAATACATGGTGTGAATTAATATTCATCAGAAGGTCCATCATGCTCTTATTTAAGGCAGTAATAAGGAAATTTATTTGGCAATCCCACATATTTTCCACAAGAAACATGTTACCTGCCACTCTTGTACATTTGCAGCTGTAAGACATGAGATAATCTTACACAGTTTTAGGATGTTCATGAAAAACTAACTAGAAACTAAAAACCAACTAATAGTTCTTAGTATGAGCTGAATCAAAATACTGTATGCAACACAATTAACTTATTTGATCATCTGGTCCCATCTGTGATCAACCATGACAACAATGAAGAGAACATTTCCTATCCTGACATTTATGGACCAATGTAGACATGTCTTATGTCTTTTTTTTAATATTGTACTGTAGGATAAAATCTTCCTGGCAGATGCTTACGTACCAATTACAAGAGAGACATAAAATATCTGGACACTCATGCACAAACCACAAGAAAAGAAACATAACCAATACATAGAAAGATGTTGAATGATTTTTTTCCATAAAGTTCAGTACAGCTTCAAAATTATCTTACCAGAATAAGGCATCACTGGAGTAATACTGACTGAGTTTGGTTTTATGCCGCTTTTAGCAATATTCCAGCAACATCACGGCGGGGGACACCAGAAATGGGCTTCACACATTGTACCCATGTGGGGATTCGAACCCGGGTCTTCGGCGTGACAAGCCAACGCTTTAACCATTGGGCTACCCCACTGCCCGGAGTAATACTGAACAAAATTAAGTAGAAACCAAAGTATTACAGATTGTGGAAAGAGTTCCTTACGTACCCCCTGCCTATTATATAAGGTACTTTTCATTACTTGTATAGCTTTGTATTTTTTGAAAAATTAGGAGGGGGGGTTGGTACGTAAATCTTACCCAGATTGTTGGGCCTGCCAATTACAAATATCACAAAATGGACAATTATAGGTAATTACATTCACAGTACTGCATCAGTAATTCCCATTCAATACAAGACCTTTCAACTGCTATACATTATGTAGTAACCTTTGATTCAAATTTTTCATAGATCCTATCAACTATTAAGTGACGAGTATATCTTGCACCCAATCAACATTGCAAAACATGCCAATATCACTGCCTGTCTTCTTATGAATTAATCAGTACAAAAAGCTTACAGATATCCAACTGTATTTCTAAGTACCTGCAATCATATATATCAACTGTACTGTCAAAGGACATAAAACCTTTAGTATTTGTTGTCAATTTTCTTTCTTTTTTTAAACATTGCATGAAATATCCCGGTGTCAGGGGTTTTCGACGATGTAAGATAAAAACATATTTTTTATCTGTAATACCATTTAAAGATTTTATTTTACTAACCTTGAGTGATAAAGGATATATTCATCTATTTCACACAAAAATATCAAGTGTTCCCTACAAAACTAGTGTTGATGGCATCGTATCGGCGAAACTGTTGCCGCTCTTAACATGCGGGTATTTTGTATGGGTTTTCGACGATGAGTCATACTTTTTACTCCGCACTGTGAGGGAGTGTTGTGATCACGTGGCTTCCTATTTATATATTGCCTGTCACCAGCAGACGACTGATCAAACTGAATTTTCGCTTTCTATTTTTTGTTATAAAGGCAACTGATTTTGCACCTGAAGTGGTATTAACAATCTCGGGTAAATAATATTGATGTTTGTTTGCATTTTATATAACTTTACTTCCCGATTTCCATTGTCAATAAAACGTCTCATGACAGCGACTGGGCACCCGCCCTACCAGTGAAACTGTTTGTGCACTCCGATCGCACACGTACTCCCCCGATATAGCGCGTGCAATGCAATCGTCGAAATCACCAGAACGTCGAATTCAGCTCGTGTTGGGATATCTTGATACTGACAGGATGATGACAAAATGCAGGAAAACAACGCTGGTGATGTTGAAAAGGTTATTCAAAACTTAAGTTTTATTCAACTCCTTCTGACCACCAGGTATACTCTATTAGATATCGTCAGATTGTAGGTTTACCAACGTCACATAGTTTCGGATGTCAGCATTCACTTTTGTTATAATGTGGCGTGTTGCCTCTCAAACAGACATTGTAAGTACTCAGAAGATGGCTTGTGTTTAAGATAAAGGTGTTGCCAAAATAAAAAAAGTTTTACAATTGTTCATGTGATAATCAAGGCAACAACGGATGTTCTTGAGTATTCGAAAAACCCGTAACATGATGACACTTAATGTATCCATAACAAAAAGGATTACTGTCAATAAAATGTGTTGCTGTTATTATGTCTAATCTACAGAAAAAGTTGTTGATTTATTTCATTGTTACCATTATCGAGGAACCACAATATTCCAGGCTTTCCAAGCTATATTGAAATTTTTTTGAAAGTTTTCAAAGATGTTTCAGAAATGTCAAGGCCTTCCTAGCCCCTGTGTACTTTTTACCTGTCAAATGAGAAACAAGTAGGATTGGTTTTCTTGTTTGATTATCATGATCACAGATCGTGTAGATAGGGCTCACTAATTCATTTCAACAATCTAATCGGAATATATTGGTAACCTCTCATGTTAAGTTTCAGTATTGCCTCATGTGGCTTACCATTCTATGAAATATTGATATAACACTTATGTCCATACAATCATGGCCACCTTTCTTGAAATCTGATGCAAAGTAGTGAACAGTCTTGGGCACACATTTCTGAAGTGAAGGCTCTGTTGCAGAAAAATGCAAGTTTTTTTTATATTGCTGCTAAAATAAGCTGATCATGCAAATGGCAAGTCCCTGCTATACACCAATGTACTGGTTTTGCAAAGAAAAACTTACAAACTCTTCTTCTTAAATGGCAATCGATGATCTTGTTAACAACCTTGTACTAAGAGTTCATGTTGTTGCATCTGTGAGTAGCAAAGAAATGTTAAGCAACGTAAGCAGTTATTCATACCATAAAGTAGGTGTGAAACTGATAAAATCCCTTGAATTACACCAATTAGGAAGAATATGAACCAATACCACCAGATGATGGGCAAAATATAAAGTAGGTCATGATCTTCAAATGGTGAAAGACAAACATCAGGACTCCACAAATCTCCAAGAATGGCCAATAAAACCTTAATATTGATTTAATATCACCAAGTGTAAATTTAAATCACTTTTTGAAAAGTTTTGTAAGTCCAAAGTTCAAGAAAAATCAATAATAAAGAAGAAGTATAATTCTTTAACAAGACAAGCGGTCAAAGTCACATGTGGCCATCCTTGGAATATTTTATGGTTTCGGGATTGATCCCGTGTCACAGAATGAGTCCATTTTTTGTAATGGCAAAAGATGACCATGTTATATGCCCACTGACATTGCCAGCAATATGGGCAACCACCATGTCAACAACTGCAGGAAGCTAAATTAACCCAACGATTAAAAAATCACCGATTGTGGCACGGGCTATGGTTATTATTGTATTCAGAATTTACAAGAATGTTTGTTTAATGACTTCCTAACGGTACAAAACAAGCCAACAAGACACCCTTGTATGTTTCTTCAGCCTTCCATGGTCTTGAATGACAAGGCTATCGACACTTTCCAAGCAATGAAATGGCGCCTTTCCTGATTGAATTCAATTAATAAACTACTAGGACCTTACCATGGTGTTTCAAAGACTTCGTATGCTAGATGTGCGTTTCTTCAAGACGAACAAGTCATCGCCATCGGCTTCTGACCTCATTCGCCACCGTCAATTTCTGGCAGGCCATACAACATGGCGGACGCTAAACACAAGAGCGCACTGTACATCCGGGCTCTCCAGGCAGTCCGGTGACTGGGCGCAGTTTTCCGATATGCGACCTCTTAGCTTGCAATAGAAGACCAAGCAAGTTTCAGCACTAAGTTCAACAACACAACAATACACGATGACACTCATATATTTAATAAGAACATAAAGGTTGCATTAGAAACCTTATGTTGCAGTACACGATATAAAACAACATGTTAAATAGAATTTGATACTGGACAAATTTATATGAATTCTTGTATAAAGATGGACAAATTTATTTGAATTCTTGTATAAAGGTGAAACATGATACTGATTTGAATTTAATTTTATCAGAATGTGGTACTAAGTTAGATTATTTGTATTTTGTGTTACTGTTTTGTCCCTTTTGCTACACTGATAGTTAAACTGTGGCTATGCCAGACCTATTTTAGAATATAGTGTTGAATAGTAAAAATAGTGAAGGCGTCATGACTATGTACAGTCGGTTATACCTCCACGTGTCAAGACTGACCACGGAGGTATAAATCTACTCTGCTATTTCTTCTATGTAATTAGATTAGTAAACACGTTATATTCTAACATCCTATATCAAAGTTTGCATGAACATTTCATTTCGAAAACTGAAGCCAGGTTTACATCATGTGTACAACAGGTATGTGTATGGAGGCCTACATGACTTGAGCCATTTCGCTGTTTCCTAGATATCTGAAACACGTGGTAGTATTTGCAAAAAACTTACATCGCACAAGCAAACGGACATTAAATTAAAGTTGATCCCAAATACGTCACTTAAGTCAAAAGGCAAATAACGAAGAGAGAAATGCAAGAAAATAATATAAGTACATATGTATGATATCACAAAAATACTCATCTCAGTTACTTGTTTTTGTGATGTTATTGGACCAGTGAAGATCCGGTTTAGAACTGATCTTCAGCAACCCATGCTTGTCGTAAGAGAAGATCGGGACGGGTGGTCAAGATCGTGTGGTCAGACTCGCTGACTTGGTTGACCGATGTCATCGAATCCCAGTCAATGCTTATGATGACAGTCAGTAGACTTACTGGTCCAGACTCGATTTCTTATACCCCCTCATGTAGTTCGATTTCTTATATCCCCCCTCATGTAGTTCGATTATTGCTGGATGTGGCGTTTAACAACATACCAACAAATGATGTAGCTTCTGCGTCTTGTTGCGAAGGTTACGGAACGCCAGATCTTACAACATGAAGAACAATTTGCCTGCTTTTGAATTTAGTGCTACGACATTTTCTGTATTTAAATAATAATGTGATGAATATATATGTTTTCAAAATAAAACTCATTTGTACTTTGTACTTAAAATGTGTATGAATACAGACTTGATCTCGTCACTATATGGCTGGAATAATGCTGATGTGACGTAAAACTCAACTCAACTCAACTCAACTCAACTCAACTCAACTACAACGTGAAGAAGGGTAATTCTATGCACCAAGTATCTTGCAACTTCTATCAAACAGAAATACACAGCATCACGTCGGTATTTAGTCGAAGGATTTACCTGCTTCTGTGTTGTTTTCTTTGTTATATTTTCAAGTCCAAAACAAAGAAGATAAGACCTGCGAAGTTTCTGTAAATACAACGAATTAAAGTATTTGATGTTTTTAGTTGGAACAGGCATCCTTGAAGAGCAACCTCCTCGTTGTGGGGGCTGGACAAGGCTAATGGCTCCTCGCCCCTGTGTGTTTCAATTACTATAAATCTATAATTTGATTTAGTCACAAAATGGCTGAAATATTGCCGATGTGACTTTAAAACTTAACTCACTCACTCAATTTAGTTGGAACATCGTCGATGAAAGTCAGTGGTACCCACAGGCTGCGAAACCCAACATAGTGCATGATCGCTTTGTATGACTTTCAGCAGTCACAGACAACAAGTAGACCGTGTGTTGAATCCAGCAGATCACAGAGACAATAACTGTACGGACACCGCTGTGAGTGTAGGCATTGAAACCCGCTATATTTAAGCTTACCCATATCCGGGTGGCTCCAGACTTACCCCTTTTATAGACCCAGATAAGGACATATTAATACAAGTGTAGGTTTAACAGTACTGAGGAAACCGATATAATTTATAACACGTGGATTTGCTGACTTGCTTTATCCACGAGCGTGAATGTACTAGTAACGAGACCAAACACTAATATATTTTGGGTGACACTTTAGTCTGTTTTTACGCTTTCAATAAATGGACATTGCACTGTGTCTATAAATCTGTGTTTGGTGAACATATTTTATTCTCTCACTTTGCTACCGCTAATCTGAAAAGCCCAATGAAAAACCGATTTATATTTCCTTGTCGAGAACACACACGTAACATGGTAACAGCTCTCAAGTGGGTTTAGGAACTACAGAGAACGCTTTAACATGGCCACGGGTAGGGAACAGCATACACTACGAGGACCTCATGCCATGAAACAGAACTCCTTCCTGTTGTTCTAAATCGTTATTGTCAGTCCACATCCATATCTGTGTCTTGTGCCTGGCGTTCGCTATCAGACAGCCATTTCACTGCTCATCGCGCAATTTGTCTCAGTTTTTAGTTTTCGGATCTGATGTAAAGATCTGTTCTTTAAAGCCCATCATATAATCCACTGTGTCGTGCGTTTCGATCACTGAATACTTAAGTCTATAGCCTTGTTTGACCGCTAGCAAGTTGAAACCACCCGGAAATGTGTCTTTTTACATTTCCTAGTATGATCATTTCATATGAAAAGAAGAATTGCAAAAGAAATGAGGAAGTGAATATCTGTACACGGAAATGGAGTACTAGTGGAAACTAGGCATTCTTGTACGTTCACTTTGAACTCAACAGTTCATGAACGCACAACATGGGTATTATGTTAATGAACACTCTAGCAAGTGAATCAAATGTTACATAATCTGTAATTGTCATATGTTGGCTTCACAACCACGCATCTCCAACTAGTGTTGACGGGACCTGTCACGGGCGGTATGATTCCTTCCGTTTGAATATAGAATGTACACTGCACGTATCACACCATATAGGGAGTACCCTTTCCCTGATGCACGTATCACACCATACAAAGAATACCCTTTCCCTGATGCACGTATCACCCCATACAGGGTGTACCCTTTCCCAACTACACCTATCACACCATACAGGGTGTACCCTTTCCCAACTACACCTATCACACCATACAGGGTGTACCCTTTCCCAACTACACCTATCACACCATACAGGGTGTACCCTTTCCCAACTACACCTATCACTCCGTACAGGGTGTACCCTTTCCCAACTACACCTATCACACCATACAGGGTGTACCCTTTCCCAACTACACCTATCACACCATACAGGGTGTACCCTTTCCCAACTACACCTATCACCCCGTACAGGGTGTACCCTTTCCCAACTACACCTATCACCCCGTACAGGGTGTACCCTTTCCCAACTACACCTATCACCCCGTACAGGGTGCACCCTTTCCCAACTGCACCTATCACACCATACAGGGTGCACCCTTTCCCAACTACACCTATCACCCCGTACAGGGTGTACCCTTTCCCAGCTACACCTATCACACCATACAGGGTGTACCCTTTCCCAACTACACCTATCACCCCGTACAGGGTGTACCCTTTCCCAACTACACCTATCACACCATACAGGGTGTACCCTTTCCCAACTGCACCTATCACCCCGTACAGGGTGTACCCTTTCCCAACTACACCTATCACCCCGTACAGGGTGTACCCTTTCCCAACTACACCTATCACCCCATACAGGGTGTACCCTTTCCCAACTGCACCTATCACCCCATACAGGGTGTACCCTTTCCCAACTACACCTATCACCCCGTACAGGGTGTACCCTTTCCCAACTACACCTATCACCCCATACAGGGACTACCCTTTCCCTGCTGCACGTATCGCCCCATACAGGGACTACCCTTCCCCAGCTGCACGTATTACCGACTCACCCCATACAAGGTGTACCCTTCCCAGCTGCACGTATCACTGACTCACCCCATACAAGGTGTATTTCTCTCAGCTGCGCGTATCACTGACTCACCCCATACAAGGTGTAGCCTTTCCCAGCTGCGCGTATCACTGACTCATCCCATACAAGGTGTAGCCTTTCCCAGCTGCGCGTATCACTGATTCAACCCCATACAAGGTGTAGCCTTTCCCAGCTGCGCGTATCACTGACTCACCCCATACAAGGTGTACCTTTCCCAGCTGCGCGTATCACTGACTCACCCCATACAAGGTGTAGCCTTTCCTAGATGCACGTATCACTGACTCACCCCATACAAGGTGTAGCCTTTCCCAGCTGCACGTGCCACTGACTCACCCCGTACAAGGAGGACCGCACACGCACACACACTCACGGATGATTGTCACGTTTTCAATGCAACTTTCTACGTGAGATGTTTACCATGGCTATTGTTTAACGTTCGGGACCTGACCTATAAATAGAGGTGACGATGCACTCAGCGGGACAAGTCACGTGAATCTCTGCGTGTAAGTTACTAAGCCTAGTTGCTGCTGCTGTACTTGTTATTAAACATGTCATCACAGAGTTTAATTAACAAGATCAGCGATGACGCCAGATGATACACAGCTGAAACAATACATAGAAATCAAACAGTTCACCATTCTATTCTAAATCTGGTGTTGAAATGGTTTACTACTAGCTCACAGCACTGGGCAGAAGACTGACCTTGACCTTCCGGACATGGAGCCAGGCGTTTACTGCCAGTACTCGACCTACTGGGCTCAGTGATAACAATGATATGGTAAAGCATCAACACCAACATAATATAAGATGCTCTGTACGATTTACATGAAACCTGGATGTTTGTAGTCTTGCCGACATATCATTAGAACGTTCTAATTATAACATCTGTGTATAGCTCATGTCGGCTAGTGGCTGATAGCATGACAAACAAATGTTGGGTCACGGTGACACATCCGAGCATGGGTCAGGTCATGTATGACACGAATAAC